GCTACTACTGTCACATGTTTATATGAGGGGGCTTCTCAAAAGCCACTATGGCTCCCCTGATTATGCAGGGCCTGATCCTTGCCTGTAGTTCTTCATGTTTTGTAATGTAGTCCCATGAGTTTGGAAGTCGTGGATGATGAAGTGGGACCGATGCATGTGCCAAATATATCAGGCCTAAACCTTTTTATTCAAAAACTGCCAAAACCCTCAAGATCTAAAAACTAGGCTGGTATTAAATTTGAGTTTGATGTTACAAATGTCAGTAGTGTTGCCTACTTGAGAACATCTGGTATTTAAGACATGTTTGTGGCATTTAGAAGTATTTACTCATTCTATTACAGTAGGTTCTGCTTGCCTGCTCCATTTTGGGGGGCTTGTAGCATCCATCCTCATCAAGATCTTCTTAATACCACATATTGCTTTTAGTGTATGTATGCAAATGCCTCTTACTGGTTAGGGATTCTCTATTTACTACAAATGCCCATTTACTCTTAAATTTCATACTGAAGTCCAGTGAGGAAACTGGTTTATTATGAAAAAAAAACCCAGGAAAAGTAAAAAAAACACCTTGTAAATTTTTTTTTTTTTACTATGTATTTATTTTTTCATCCTCTCTGAATTTGCAGTCATCAGTTTTTGGTGCAGCATGAATACAAAAGATGTATTCTCTATGTAAACATCCTGATTTGCAAACAACAGAAAAGGTTAGCCAGTCTCTCTGTTGATAGGAGTAATTTTGCAGTATTAGTGGGCGTTTTTTAAATTGAAGAGGTGGACAATATCTCTGACTCAGTACAAAATTACCTAAGTACATTTTAGTTTCTTCATGTCTATTATTGATATGATGATTGATCTTGGAAACTGAGTCTTTTGCAATATTAACTCTGACAAATGAAACCCTAATTTAATGGACTTCTCAATTTGGGAGAACTTAAATACACGTCACCGAAAATGTTCTTTGAAGACATTATATAAGAAAAAGCCAAGTTTAATACCTAGAAACTTACTCTGTTTTCCATGTAGCTTAGATACTGAATTTCTAGAGTAGTACCTCTCCAACTAAATGTGTTTGCAATGTAGTTACTTGCTGCTTATAGTTCTCCGCATGTTTCTTTCCAGTTAGAGCTTAACTTGCATCTTGTGCATGGTTTGTGCAAACTGCATTTTAACTTGTCTTTGTCTTTGATGCTTGCAACCTAATCCATCCCAGCTACACTGCCTCGAAAAGAAAGTGCTGTCAAACAGGAAACTGAGAGTGAGTATAACTAGTTGCATTAGTTGGTATTGTCAATGCATGTGTGTCGATGTAAAGATGTAGTGCTGCATCATGGAAAATCTACCAAACACTGAAGCATTCCGTTCAGAATGAAATGAGCATTAGCAGAATCATTGTTGTTGCAAGGCAAAAATGAAGCACGCGTATTACGGCCCAACGTAGAAGTTGAGAAGGTTTGCAGGTAAAGGCAGCGCCTTTTGGTTTTTCCCATGCTACTAGTTGATATAAAAAATACGTTTGTGCCTGAGAGCGTGTCATAGTTTTCCAGCTCTTCCAATAGGTTGAGGTAACAACTTTTATTAGAACTATAGGCTTTGTTTTGTGTCCTTAGACTAGACGCCAACATAGCGATTAAATGAAACGTCAGAATCCAGCTTTTAAGTTTCTTTGTGGTTGAGACGTGAGAAGTTTACATGGGGGTCAAATATTGACGAGTTCGTGGTCTTTTTCTGTTACCAGCTTTCTCCATCCTGTTCCAACCAGCCTGAAAATTTGGGAGGAAAAAAAAAAAAAAAAGATAGGCTCCTCACCTAGGAAGAGGGCCCACAATATCAGGAAGGAATGTCTGAATGTTACTTATGATCAAAAAGAAGGGGGAATGTTAGCAGTAGAGTTACTATGAGATTGTAGATCCAGCAAAATAGCTGGAGCAAACTATGTAGACGAAAGGATGTTAACAGACGAAAGATCAAGTTGGAGATGAAAGAATGCCTGTGTGTATGTGAAGCCTTTTATTTTTCCCTTTTGTGGATTAATTCTTGCTTGTGGCTTTGCCAAAAGTACATTCACAAAGATCATAACTGGTCTTTGCTTACAAGTTTTCAAGGAGAATATCTATCCCAGTGTTCCTGTATTTCACAGTTTTGTTCCTTTTATACCTTTTCCCATACTTTACAAGGAGGCCTTATATAGCTACGTTGTACTCTGAAACTTGCTGAACTATTTCAGATACCTTGTAACGAGAAAAGAACCTGTTTATAGCAAAAGCCTTTGCAGCTTAGACAAAATTTGAGTTATTTGATTTTAATGTAGGACTACTAGCAACACTTGATGTAATATGCTCTGTAATAAACCTGTTCTTGACTATTTTATTCTTCCTTTGCTTCCCTCCTTCATAATGTCTTTATTTCACAGGTCTTCATGGAAGTTCTGGAAAATTGACTGGGTCTACTTCTAGCCTAAATAAACTCTCTGTTCAGAGTTCGGGAAACCGTAGGTCTCAGTCATCCTCACTGTTGGATATGGGAAACATGTCTGCCTCTGACCTTGATGTGGCTGATAGAACAAAATTTGATAAGGTAAAGCCAAAATGTTGCATAGGATTCCTGCTTGGTTTTGTATTAGAAGTGTCTTACGTATCCTTCTTGCACTGTTTAAATCTTAAAACATGCCAATTTCAAATTCTGCATGCACCACGCATCCAATAAAGGCAATTTCTAAGAAATATGTAGATCAGAGTATTATTCTCTGATTATAAGATTCCATTTAGTTCCTTGATATGCTGCATGTGATCTTTAAATAATATTGAGCATAAAAGGGGGTCTGTCAAGTTTAAGCCAAATATGCATCTTTAAGCAAATAATTCAACTCATTAACTCTTCAACTTGTTTTATTTTTTCTCAGTACAAATGTTCACGTGTTCTGTCACAGTTTGCCAGTATCTAAGCAAAAGTGAAATCTTTTAGCCAGGACTTGAGCATGGCCCATGTTATTTATACTGGTTTCACCTGAAAGTTATAATCAGTTTTTAGCTTTAACCAATGGCACTAAGTTATTATTGAAGTGTTCTCAGCATCTGTTTGAAAGCCTGCTGTCCTTAGCATCTGGTTTGTTTTTTTTTCCTGAACCTTTAGAAGTGACAGTACTCCTCACTTCTTGTGGAATTAACTCCTCAGTACTGTGGAGAGAAAAGGAGCCGTTATCAGAGTGAGAGAAAAAAACAGTTTTCAGGTTCTCTATTGAATTGTTTGATGGAGATGAGTGTTTTTCTTCTGACTTCTTCAAACCCTTGCTCAATCTTTTTCTGGGAGAAGTATTATATGCCTGAAACAATACTAACTGTTATTACAGACCTGTAGCAGCAACTTGTCTAGAACTGAATTGACAGCTTTTAAAAACAATTTTGTACAGGTATTGTGCTATTTTTTTCAACAACTTCTGACTTTTGTCTCATACCCATTGGGGACATGTAAGTGTAACTAATGTATACAGAGTTGTAAGCTAGTGAGCTGAACTAGTATGTTTTTTCATTTTTTTTTTTCTTATTTTCTCTAGGGAAATTCAGTAGTGTGGATTTACTATGTGGTTAGATAGGTTCCATTTATGTAAATTATTAAATGTCTTAATCCTTAAATACTTGCAGAGAAAATTCCATTTTGTGTAAAGATGACGGATTAGAAGTATGTCTAACACCTGACTTACAATTTCATGTATTAATGAAATTAAATTATTTTAATGAATTATTGCCAAAATAATATTTAATTTTGGACTAAATCTAAACATTATGATGAATAATTCTATTTCAGTACAAAACCTGCTATTGGTTTCTGTAGCAGCTATGTGGAAACTTTCTGCAGAGCAGTTATCTCCTACATACAGTTTACCTGTTTTTCTTCCCTGAGGCTTTTAATTTTGTTTTCTTCCTCTCAGCAATCCAGGCAGAAAAAAGGGTGGCAAAACCCATGACTTACTATTAAAATCTGAATGTTTACATTATAGCGCAAAAGCCCTTCCTCAGGCTGTAACTAGAAAACTTGTAGTTGTGGAAAAACATAGGTGGTTCTTTTCTTCCCAGTGTTACATGGATGAGAAGGGACTGTGTTGAAGGTGCAGGTATCGCTTTCAAGGATTTAAGTAGAAGCTGTTTTCATTTCTGTTAAGTAGAAATAAGCCTTCTAAAGCTTACTGAAGATAGGAAGTATAAAATCCTATGCAACAAACAATTAAAATTGGTATTACTAACTGTTTATGGTATTTGGTGTGTTGATAAAATATTTGGCTTTCTTTAGATTTTTGAGCAAGTATTAAGTGAACTAGAGCCTCTGTGTCTGGCAGAACAGGACTTCATTAGTAAATTTTTCAAGCTACAGCAACATCAGAGCATCTCGGGAACAGCAACGGTATGACTCTTCTTCTGTCACTGAAGTAAAAAAATACTGAACAGGCCTCATGAGGCCTGTTTAAAAGATAAATTCTGAATTTATTTGGCAATTGTGTGATCCAGGTGATCAATAATTTGTTTTTTCTCCATTAGCTGGCAGAATCTTTATTTTTGGCTGACCAATACAAAATCTATTAAAGGAGGACTGACAGGTTTCTTTTGCCATGGCTGTGTTTCCTCAGAAGATCACAGTAAACACTTCATCATGCCATGTAGGAAGGCAATGGAGAGTAATTGTGGATACTGTTGTACTTGGTGGAACATGACCAGAAAACTGCCAGAAGCTTGCAAACCACTGTATTTGCTACTTTGGGGGGAGGAAAAAGGCGTGTGTGTCAGGGGGAGGCTGATAATTTTGTTGGTTTTGGCAGATATACTTACCACTTAGATATAGAATTGGACACAAGCTTTCAGCTTTCTTTAGATACATTCCTTGTTCTTACAGAGTGAAGCAGAGGAAATGGATGGAGGAGTTTTATCTCGTTCATACACTTCTGGTGTTCCACAAACAGTATCGTCTGAGTATGTGCTGCTGTTGTCTGTTATTGATTCTTAAGCCTACGCATTAATTCATTTGGCATATAAAACTTTCTTCTCTATAATCAGAAATTGTTCCCTTTTAGTGAAAGTAAATAGAGAACTCATAATTTGTACCTAGACACTGAATGTGTCAGTAAACATAAACATGTTTGTATATAGGATGGTTGTTTCTGTCTATAGTAGTATAAAAAAAATGCTTAATTATCTAATAGCTTGCAGAGTGAAACTAGACACTAATATGTAAAATATACTTTGGAAAATATGCTTAGCAGAATTCTGAATTTGAGTGTGTGGCAGCTTCCACACAGAAAATACTTCTTGGAATATTTTATACCTGTGACTATTGATTTTTACTGTGTGACATTGGCATTTCTTCCCTTAGCAGCCTTCTCAAAATCATGAGACTTGTTGAATACAAATGAGACCACTATATCCAATAGATTTATCCTAAAAATTTTATCAAAGAACATGTAAAATAGCTTAGTAAACTGTCAGAGTAATATTTTTATCTTGTGCATTTTTCATAGGAAGGACATGATCCGACAAATGATGACAAAAATATTTCGTTGTATTGAACCTGAGCTGAATAATCTTATAGCGCTGGGGGACAAGATTGATAGCTTTAACTCCCTTTATATGTTAGTTAAGATGAGCCATCATGTATGGACAGCACAAAACGTGGACCCAGCTTCCTTTCTCAGCACAACACTCGGAAACGTTTTGGTGACAGTCAAAAGGAACTTTGATAAATGCATTGTAAGTTCTTTAGTTACTCTGATTAAGCTAACTGCAATATTACAGGACGCACACTCCTACCCACTTTGATTTTGCGTTTCTTTAAATTTTTGCTTTTCCTCTGAAGTGAAAGTGAGTAACTTTATTGCACTTCTACTGGCCAAACCTTCAAAAGAAGAAACCAATTGGTGGTTGCTTCTTTTCCCTCTCCATTCAGTTTTCTTCAGTAATTCCCTATTTGTAACAAATATGACCACTCATTCACTGCTGTGAACTAGCTGACATTTTTAGTTATTTGTTTAAACTTGGACCCTTCCTGAGATTTCTGAATGCAGTCAAATAAACTATTGCTCTCTGCTTCTTTTTTTACTTACCAGAACAAAACCTCATGGACTTAGGAGGGTTTTGGTTTTGGCCTTTAAGCATAATCTGCCAAGTAGACATCTCTTCCATGTGCTCAGTTATTTCTGTCTTATATCTAACAAAAACTTGGTTTAGATAAAATGGCAAATCTTTTGGCAGTAGCAGAGGCAGCTTCTACTGTCAGAAACTTCCTTTTGTTGATTACAGTATGACCATTGTATGAAATATGGCAAGTTTAGTGAAAACATAGCTGCTGGTACAGCTTTTTTTTTATTGTCATTAATGTAATTTGATGTTAGGCCGACATAATTAGACTGACCATTCTAGATCAGTGTAATGCTTGAAATATTTTGAAGCTGATTTTTTTGGATTATACTCAGAAATAAAATTTCAGTACAAGGTTAAAGACACTTCCTCTAGCAAAAGGAATTGTTAGCTTGGCTCGATCAGAAAAGCGAAGTTCCTTGATAGATTACAGAATGAAAAGTGTTAATTGCTTCTGGTAGATAAGTTTGTTTTTTGTTTTTTGTTTTTTTTTTTTTACCTTAATACTAAGTGAAAAAAGGAGAATAAAAACTGGGAGATTTTGCTTGCCCATCTTCCTTTTTTCTTTCAAACTATTTTATTTCTTAACAAATTTTCGAGGGTAAAAAGGGAGAAAGACTAAGATTTACTAATTGAAAGATAAAATTATTTCAGTGTTTGAATAAATGTCAGTTTTTCAGTATGTCTGCATTTTTCTTTTCTTTTACTAATTGTTACATGGTCTGGAGTCATATATTAAAGTCTAACATCTGTTGTTTTAAATTTAAGAGTAATCAAATGAAGCAGATGGATGAAGTAAAAATCTCAAAGAAGAGTAAAGTTGGGATCCTTCCATTTGTTGCTGAGTTTGAAGAGTTTGCAGCCCTTGCTGAATCAATTTTCAAAAATGCAGAACGACGAGGAGATCTAGACAAAGCCTACATAAAGCTTATTAGAGCTGTTTTTGTCAGTGGTAGGTCTTTTGAGGTTGTCATAGTTAATAAAATGGTAATTTCTTCCTATTTATATATAATTTTGCTCCAATTAACAGATAGTTCTTTTTTTTTATATAAGATTCTGTGTTGCAAACCTCGTGACCAACATTGCGCTGAAATGTTGGTTATCTCTGTTATCAGTAGGAGAGCAAGTGTAAACCTGTTGACTGTAATACACTTTTTGTAGCTGTTTGCCTTTGTACATACCTGTAAAGTAACTTTCAGTTATGACAGAGGGAAACTGTTAAGATTCTGGAGGCAGAGAGGAGAAGGCAGCAACATGACACGTTCAGTCTGAAGGTTTCCTGTCTTTTCTCCCCCAGTGTAGCTTATATGAGGAGATGGATCTCGATGGGATCCCTGGCATTTGGCCCTAATACAGTTCATTGTCACAGCCCTGGCTAAAATAAATCACTTGAGTTCTGGCTATGAATTTGACCCGTTCTTGGCAGATTAGGTCCTTTTGTGACCTGGCCCGACACAGCAGAATGTCTCGCCAGTCCTTCCTATTTTCCCAGCTATAGTCTGGAAAAACAGCAGCAACGCCTGTGTTCTACTGGCTTTATTCAACATTAACGAAAAAAAAAAAGGGGTGGGGTGGGGGGCAGCAGGGGTATGCAAGCCAATGAACTCTGGAAAAAATGTCCTTGCCTTTTACAATGGACACATACACGGCTGGACGAACCTCCCCATGCTGATTGACCTGCAGATTTGCAAACAACTCCACATATAGTAATTCCCAACCACTGAGGCCTACCTCTTTTTTAGGGGAAGGCTGGGCAAGAGGAGACAGTAGGGGCAATAAGGCTGGTCTGAGGACATCGTAGCACAGTGGTTCTGAACGTATTAGGAAATCGTGAAGGGACATTACTTCACAGTACAATAGACCAGAGTCCACATGTAGTCAGCAGGAGCATCACAGCTGATAAGACAGTAAATTTTGAAAATGTCTTTTTTATTTGGTTGCACCCAACTTTTCTGTCCTTAAGAATTTACTTCTTTAAGTAATACAACTAAGCAAACACCAATGGACAGGCAAAACTATACAAAGATAAAATAACTAGTGTAGGAAGAATTTAGAAAAGCATGTTTTAAAAGGGGTTCAAAATGATGCCAGTCAAATACTGAAGAAACAAAATCTTTTCAGACAAGTATACAGAAAACTTAAAGAACAAAGAATTATGATGGGGGCAGATAAGGAACAGAAGTAAAGAATGAAGATGAAACAAAGTTACAGTTATGTACAAAATCAGTGCAAGCAGAAGGATATTTAACTTACAAGTAATGTTTGAACCAGGTCAGAAAGATGTCCTATTTCAGGTAGAATTTGGAGGGCAGTGTAGAAAATTATATGGGAAGAACAAAATTGGCAGTAACGGAGTTTTCCTAGTTGGCAACTCGGTGTTCTGACTGAAATTAATGTGATCTTTAGTGATGTGCTGGTGCCCAGGATCACTTTCATGGTGGGCGTCCTGGTAGTCTCAGCAAAATGATTAATGGATGAGAAGGGGCTTAGAGACTTCATTGTGCTCTTAGTTGAAGCCATACTCTTTCAGCCTGCTTTTGGGTGCAATAAGAGAGTGATAGGTAGGATTTCTTTGCCTGCCATGGGTTTTTTTTGTGGAGGGGGGAGGGTGGCGGGGGTTGTGTGTGAAAGAAAGAGACCTATGTGCAGGATTATCCATTTTTGTTATTAAATTTGGGGATTGACAGTAGCTTTGACCATAAAACTCATAAACAAAACCTGAGAGACTGAGAAGTATGTTTTAAAAAAAACCTACCACCTTATTGAAGATTTTTATTCTAGCAAAGAGGGGAATCAATTTTCTTTTAAGAAACAGACTTTTTAAAAATAATTCTCTCGTGGAATTTGTTAGGGATAATTAAAGCATGCTTGTAAGCCTCCACAGAATGCAGGTTGTTTCTCACTTATGTAAATGAGACCATATGTAGTCATTATTTTGTATCTTTTTATAAATGACTTTTTTGGCATACAAATTTCATTGCCTTGGAGCCTATACATACCTGTTGCTTCTTTCGAAGGCTCTCAGATATTGATTTATTTAATGGAAATTATGACAGTCATACAAATGGTTATCATTGACATAAAATCCAAAATTCCTTTTCTGACAGTATTATGGTCATTGGTTATGTTTTTCTGAATTTGGTTGTCCTTTTGGTATTTTAAGTATTTTGCTTCCTTTTTCTTTCAGTTGAGAAAGTAGCTAATGAGAGCCAGAAAACACCCAGAGATGTGGTCATGATGGAGAACTTCCATCATATTTTTGCAACGCTTTCTCGCTTGAAAATTTCTTGTCTTGAGGCTGAGAAAAAAGAAGCCAAACAGAAATACACTGATCATCTTCAGTCTTATGTAATCTACTCGCTCGGACAGCCTCTTGAGAAATTAAATGTAAGTATATTTGAGTTTATACAGATATGCTACAGAGTAGTTTTTCTCAAGTGTTTAGATCGCACTATCTGATCTCTTTATCACTGCATCTATCATAATCTCTATTTTATTACTTTAGACTTGAGCATGTCTGGCAAGAGTACCCTACTCATGAATCTTGGATGAAAAATAACCAAATCTTTCATGGCAATTAATAGCACTGACTAAACCAGTTGAGTCTTAAGCAAAAGGTTTTGAGGAAGGAAAAAGCAAGGGGAAAAGTAATCAGGAGCTTTGGGATAATTTTCCCACCTCAGCTGCAGAGAAAATCGCTGTAGTTTCTGAACTGTTCAACAGCAAGAATTTTTTAGGAAAGTCCTGTATGTCCAAAGTTGAACTAAGTGTTAATCTGAATATGATTCTGGCTCAGTTCTGCCCACTTAATGTTTCCCGCTGTTTATTGTGTTTTCTATAAGCAGGATTTCAGCCATTCATTTTCTGAAAAGTCTAAGATGTATTCTCTTTTTGAAAATTCAGATGCTTTGTTACTGCTTTCCGCTTGTCATGGGTTGACTCTGGCCAGTACCGAAGCTGCCACATGACTAACTGCTTGCTTGCCCTCCCCTCCCCAAGCAGGACAGGGGAAGAGAACAGGAAGAGCAAAAGTGAGAAAACTTGGGGGTGCAGATAAAGACAGCTTAATCAGTGAAGGGGAGAGAGGGGGTGGGGGGGAATTAAAGTGATGCAAAGGCACCTCCCACAAGCAGACTGATGCCCAGCCAGTTTCTGAGCAGCAGCCACCTTGAAGACAAACACCACCCCACTCCCTCTTCTAACCCTAAATTTTATAGCCAAGTATGATGTTACATGCTATGGAATACCCTTTGGCCAGGGCTGACCTGTTCAGCAATAACCCAAACCCTGGTGTGTTACCAGCCTGTTCTAGCCACGAATCATAGCACCATGTGGGCTGCTACGAGGGAAGTTAACTCTGTCCTGGCCAGACTCAGTGCAGTGTTTCAAAGGGCGTTGTGGCTCTACGTGTATGTTCCCAGGCATACTCCCCTCCATTTTTATTATCTTGAGCCAGCTGGTGTGGGGCAAGGAGAAGAAGGCAATTATGAACAAATACTGCTGTTGTGTAACTATGGTTTAAGTAGAGAAATTCCTATTTAGGTGCTTACTCAGTTTGTCTGAAAGATTCAGTATTTTCCCAGGCTATGGCCTCACTAATTGAGGACTTTGAGGCTGACTCAGTATTAGTTAGTACACGGTTGCAAAGAAAAGCTTGATTTGCTTCTAGAAGTGATGGATTTCAGTTTTATGCTAGTACCTACGGAGGGCTGCGCAGACATTTGGCTGTGCTTTGATGTTTATGGCTGACCGCTACTTCATGCCCAATTAAACAACAAAAATGGGAGGAACCCATGACTGTTAAGCAGAATCAAGACTTAGCTACGCACGTGCTTGTCAAATTAAGTTAATTAGTTTAGATTTGTGGTACTCATCAATACTGTTACTGCTGGTTAGCATTTTTTTGAAGGTGTTGAAGCTCGTGTGGCACAAGGTATACGAGAAGAGGAAGTAAGCTATCAACTGGCTTTTAATAAACAAGAGCTTCGTAAAGTTATAAAGGAATATCCTGGTAAGGAAGTGAAGAAGGGATTGGATAATCTGTACAAGAAAGTAGATAAACATCTCTGTGAAGAAGAAAACTTACTTCAGGTAAACTAAATCATGGTTTAAAGATGTTGTAATGTTTACACAAAGGCTTGCTATTTACACAAAGGCTTTTTCATTTGTATTCGGTGAGAAGTGCCTAGCTTCAGCATAATGCTGAAAAAAACCATGAATTTTGAGCAGGTTTTTTGTATAATCCCACTGTGATTCTATTTGTTGTAACTTTGATTTGAACTGAGGTGGTAGAGAGTTCAGAAAGAAACTTCATGATTCCTTAGCTGACCATTAATGGGTGATCTCTGTTCTGCAAAACATACTGGAAATAGAGAGAACTAGATGCAAACGAATGGTTAACCTGATACAAAATTTAGCTGGCACACTGTAGCAGAATATACTTCAATTACATCTTTTCTGATAGTTACATTATCTAAGTTTTTTCTTGTACTTTTAACTTTATCACTGGAGTAAATGGTAAGTAGATTTGAGTTAAGCATGTATTAACAGCTTTTTAAAGTCTGAAACGTGAACGAGTAGCACTGTTCTGGTTTGGGGTGTTTAAAGACAAAAGCAATACCTCTTTTAGGGCAACTTCCTCCTCATCTTCACTATTTTCTGCTTCGCAGATTTGGTAGGAGTCCTCTAAATGTTAAAGATCTTCATGGGTAAAAACCTTCAATCTTTTTTTAAACGCAGCAGCTCAGTTTACTGAATGTTACTGGCAAGCTTTAGCTTTCAAGTGACACCTGAGCCAATGTTTTGTAGCTCCCATACAGTGTATTGTGCCAGCTGACATTTGCTTTCTCTGGCAGGTTGTGTGGCATTCCATGCAGGATGAATTTATACGACAATACAAGCACTTTGAAGGGCTGATAGCTCGCTGCTATCCTGGATCAGGAATTACTATGGAATTCACTATACAGGATATCTTAGACTACTGCTCTAGTATTGCACAGTCTCATTAGAAAGGGAGAGAAGCTTGCAAAGTTTGTGCCTGTGTATAAGGGAATTAAACACTATGAATGCTACTTGTTTTTAAAAGGTGGATTTCCACTTGTGTGTGTAGCTAACTGCCATGTATGTCAAGTTATACTCCTGCTTCCAGTGTCTTTCAGGGCAGAATGAAACCTTTGGGGATTTGTGGCTCTTCTACTGGGTTGAAGTACTGTTTGAAGGCATTAATTCTGTGAAACACTTTGGATATCGTTTTTTCCCTTCCCTTAATGTTCAGATACTTTTATTTATAATCCCTTTCTTGCTAAAAGCAGTAAGCACTACCATCATAGTATGCAAAAAGGATACTACTGTTTTCACTAATATTGTGCATCTTTGAAATTATGTGTAAGCATTAAGGACTATCAAATCTTTTTCCCTTCCTTGTTCTAGAAAGTATAGATGTGGAACTTTATGCAGTGGGAACACTGAATTCATGTGCTGAGCTGTAATGTGACTATGGCTATAATTCTTAATTAAACTGTGTTCATGATGTTCGTCTGTGGAGTTTTATTTCAAAAAGGCGAAAAGGCAGAGTTCTTTCCATTGTTTTGTCGCTGGGCCTTGAATTTGAACTGCTGTTTCTCAACACGTTTTTTTTTTTTTTTGTCCTTTTAGTAAGTATATAGCAGCATCAGTATACTCCTGCCTCATGTAACCCCTTCCTCCTCCTTAAGCTTCAGCTGCCCAGTGATTCAGGACCTAGTTTTTCTGTACAGCTTGAAATGGCGAAGCTGTTGGCTAGAGCTGGGCTGTCTGTAGAACAGGAACAGGTACAGTAACCATAAACATGGCGACAGCGGTAACATTTTGGGTTTTGAGGTGCAGATGCAAGAATAAAACTCAAAAAGCGGTAGTACGAATGAGAATGTTACGAAACTCAGCAGATGGCGACTTGGCAACCCAGATTTGGGTGAGCACAGCAACACCTTGTAGCTCATTAACTCCTCGTTGCCTTGTGTTTACTAATGAAATACCCGGTCCAACTTGCGCATAACCTGCTTACCGTCTCTCTGCGCGGGGCGGAAGGCAGCCCCAGCGCCACCGAGGGCAGGCAAGCGTTGCACCGAGCAGCCCTTCCCCTCGACGAGCACAGCCACCTCAGCAGAGCGGCCTGC